TGTTTTTTAATAAGTGATTGATAACAGGGAATTTTACATTTACTAATTAAAAGAAAGAAGAAAGAAAAAAACTTTGATCTCAAGTTATTCTTTCATTGAGTCTCCTACCAAAAGTGGTTTTCCCCTTAGTTTGCTCTTTTATTCATCTTTCTTCTTCTGGCTTTCTCTTGCCCTTTTGACTTTGGCAATAACATAATGGTACCTTTGTACTTTTGTGTTCTGCTGGGAGGGATAGTACTTGATTGTTTCCTCGAGTAAATGTGGCTCCTGCTTTGGGACTTACTTGGAAGATTTTGAAAGCTAAGTGAGGATATTGCTAGCTAAACTTCTCTGAGTGTTAGTTCCCTTTTCTTGAGTTCATATTTTTGACTGTTAAGCCTTTTTTGAATCATGCTTTAACCAGGTCTCTTACTTTTTATGCCCCCTTACATAGTGGACTGGGTTAAGATTATGTAGAGATAGCCAACTGTGAACATGTGTTAGATTTATAATTAAGGCATTTTCTCATGTATTTATTTCTACTTTTCCTCCTCATAGTTTTGGAAGACAGGTTTTCCCTGCTATCCCAAAGTAGAATGTTCCTGTGAAACTTTTTGTAAGCCAAAGTGGCATAAAGGAAAGAAGCAGTTACTATTAATTTATATGGAAAATTTTTTAGTGTTCCCAGACCCCCAAAATAACCAACCAAATCATGCCACATAACACATAAAACCTAAAATAACAACATATAGTAAAAACAGGAATAATACAATAAATACACAGCCTGTATAAAGTACAAATAATTTATGTACAGTGTAGTTTCACTTACCAGAATTGGGACGACAGCAAGCACACCAGAGGGCTGACAGGTGGTGATGGTAGTGTGTTAGAATGGGGTGTTGGAGGTTGGGGTGGTGGAAGGTAGAGGAATAGAGTATAGGGGAGAGAGAGGAAGAGTGTCATCTATTAACATCACTGTCTAAATCTATCAGTGCAAGCAGGTCACTAATGTCTACACCTTCTTCTGTGTTTGCCTACCTCGATGTCAAAGGTCCAGGTTCATCCTCTGCTGTGGCTAATGTGGCTAATGTGGCTGATGTGGAAAGCTTGAAATACAACAGTATGCTCAACTGCTTAGCCTCTCACATTTTTTTATACTACAGTTATTTGTAGGCATTCAAAACATTCTGTAAACCTGCCCCTAAACCTACCTGCCCTTTCAAAATTAAAGCCATACTTTTCTGCAATCACTGCAGCACTGTCCATCATAGCAAAAATCTCATGTGCTTCACGTTCAGTTCTTGGATAACTTCACTTTTAGGCTGTTCACTGTTGTGTTCAATGTTGATTCGTGTTCTTTCCTCTTGCAATTGCATCAGCTCTTCATCTGTCAATTCTTGATCGTGGGATGCCAAAACCTTCAACATCATTTTCATCAGTTTCCACAAACCAAGCCTCCTTAGCCAAAGTCAGTGTTGCCATATTTATTGTTGTTGGTTTGAAGCCTTTAAAATTGTTCCCTGCTTCAGGAGACAGCCCTCTAAGCACCGTTTCACATCCAGACTGTAACCCTATCAAGAGCATCTCCAAAGTTGGCGATTGCCAGTTTTATGTTGTAGTCTTTCCAGATCCCTTGTAAAGATGCTTTGGAATTGGCTTCTCTGTCAATGGCACTTAGAATAAGATGCGTCACATTTTGCATATAGTAAGCCTTAATTATGGCTATTAGGCCTGGGACACATGGTTGTATCAACAACATCATATTTGGCAGGAAGAACACACAGGAATGTTATTGCCATACTCAGTAATGCCAGGTGGATGAGCAGCACAATTTTCAACAATCAGAAGACACCTATTATCAAGATTATTTTCTCTACAGTATTTTCAACAAAAGGACTAATGTACTCATGTAGTCAGAAAAAAATCACTTGGATATTCCAACTGCTTGGATGTGAATGAAACACAAGAAGTGTATTCTTATCAATGGCTTTAAGTGCCTTTGGATTTTCTGAGTGGTACACTGGTAGAGGTCTAAGGATAGCATCACCAGTGGTGTTAGTAGTGGGCATTAAGCCTGTCCTTTGACGCCTTGTGTCCCTTAGCCTGCTTTTCTTCTATTGAAATAAATGTCTTGCTCAGTTTTTCCAATAATAAATTGAAGTTAAATACTTGCTTATATGAATAACCACCTGCTATAATTATTTTTGTCAGTTCTTTTGGGAACTTTTCAGCAGCTTCATTATCAGCTGAAGCACTCTCTCCAGTAACCTTTAAGCTACGAAGCTGCCCTTGGCTCAAAACCGATCAAACCACCCATGACTACCTTTAAATTATACTTTTACAACACTTTGATCATCATTGTCCAGTACTTTCCTTTCGGCTTACTAAAAAAATTGATTTATCCTGAAGTGTAAGATAAATTAATGGAACACCATGCTTTGTTCACCCACCAATCCACTCAAGCAATAGACTTTCCATTGCATCCATTACTGGATGCTGACTAAAAGAGACCACTTTCCTACTGGCAGAACCAATTAGTAACTTCAGCAACTTTGAAGATTGTTTCTCTCTGAGTAAATAGTATGAAGGGTGGATGCAGGCAAGTTCAGTGCATACACAGTGTCTTTATTTCATTCACCACAATTGAAATGCTTAATTACATCCAGTTTATGCCAAGTGTAACACCCTTACAAACTCTTAGGCTTTTCTGATACCTTAGGACACATCTTGCTTATGGATGCACACAATAAATGGAGATAAAGCACAGATGCTCATAGACAAGTTCAGAGCTGTGGCAACTTGGAGGCTGAGATGCTGAGTGTAGCTCCTGGAGAAGGAACTTGGCAGCCACTCAGTGCTTGGGGAGTGTGCTTGCCTCTCTAATGGCTGGCTGCAAAACAAACATTGATTGCAGTATTCGGTTTTTGCTATTTTCCTTGTAATTTCCCTGGATTTCTTTCTTTCTTTCTTTCTTTTTTCCTTTTTCAGTATGTGCCCTCTTTAATACCCATCACCAGGCTAACCCATCCCCCTAGCCCTCTCCCGTCTAGAACCCTCAGTTTGTTTCTCAGAGTCCATAGTCTCTCATGGTTCGTCTCCCCCTCTGATTTCCTCCCCTTCATTTTTCCCTTCCTACTATCTTCTTCTTCTTCTTCTTTTTTTAACATATAATGTATTATTTGTTTCAGAGGTACAGATCTGTGATTCAACAGTCTCACACAATTCACCCTCCCCAGTGTCCATCACCCAGCCACCCCATCCCTCCCACCCCCCACCACTCCAGCAACCCTCAGTTTGTTTCCTGGATTTCTTTTAGTTAGCAGAAATAGGTACTAATTTAGGTCTTTTGTGAAAGCGAACTTCTGAAAAGCAGGAGATACCTATAATGAGAAAATAATTCCCAGAATGGATAGTCTCTTAAGTTATGGTGAGAGAATTCTGAGAAAGAGCTAAATATGATTCTAAGTAAATGTCATCTTTTCCAAGTAAAACCGCTTCTTCAAACTGAAGTAGTTGACCAATTTTTTAAGGCTATAAATGATAATTATATACCATAATTGAAAAAAAATGCATGAAACTGCATTTTCGTGATCTGTTTGGTTACTAGTATTTTGTATATAGTCTAAAGTTTGAACCAAAGCCCCATGAGGAAAGGACTGTGTCGTCTTGTTTTACTGCTGTTTTCTGATGCCTAGGGTGGTATCTAGCATGTTAGATGCACAATAACTCCTTGGATGTATGGATGGATGGGTGGGTGGATGGGTGGATGGATGGATGAACAAACAAATGAAGTAACTCTAAGGTTATGGTGTTGAATGCACTGAATTTCTAGAATAAAATGCCATGTATGGTGGATTTAACTTGGTTTTAAAGGTATTAAAAAAAAATGTGCTTTGTCTAGTCCAACCAGGAGTCTTAATTTTAAAAGAACTCTGGCCTAGGGTGACTCACTCAGTTAAGCGTCTGACTCTTGGTCTCAGCTTGGGTCTTGATCTCAGGATCTTGATTTCAGGATCATGAGTTCAAGCCCTATGTTGAGCTCCACGCTGGGTGTGGAGCCTAATTAAAAAAAAAAATTATATATATATATATACACACACACACACAAATGTATGTGTATGTGTATATGTATGTACACATACATATGAAAGAACTCTGGCTTAGAAGGAACTCTCAGAGGTGAAGCCAATATTTCTGTGTTTTTTGTTTTTTGTTTCTCCTTTTTGGTGTTGTGTTTTTTGATACATTCTCGTAGTCAAATATGTGAAAAATTTTAAGTGGGCTTATAGTTTTATTCTATAATTTTCTCTGCAGTTTCTTCACTTTAATATTAATTAATGCTTATTTCTAGTTGAGCTGGTAACATTCTTCTTCCAAATGTTGCAGAACTTTTAACCTCCTCTGATTAGAACTTTTTCAGGAAGTAGCCTGAAAACAGAAAAATATGTGAAATTTTAAGAGAATCTTTCTTAGAGATTTTTAATTCAGAATCTCTAAAGTGAATTTTACCATTATATTTAGCCATTTAATGTTTATTTTTTAAATCAGTAGATGTAAATTAAATGCCAGCTGTTGAAAAAAGAACTTTAAGTCAATTGAAGGATACACAGAGAAGTATTTATCGAGAAAAAATTATGTAGACACATAGAAGTGTTTTTAGTGTGTGATCTACTTATAATGAACATCTTACATGAAATTTATCAAAAGCTAGGAATTAAATGTAGTTATTAAATATCCTCAAATTTACTTGGGGAGAACTTTTCTGTAATTTATAGCCAGAAATAGTAGATATGATTGTCTCAACATTTCTTGCTGTTTATTTAGTGCTTTGGCTTAAAAATGTAATAAAAATTAAAATCCAGAAATAAAATTCATCCCTCAAAATTCAGTTGATGTCTAATTTTTTGTTGATTCCATTTGTGTTACATTTGATCATGTAATTTTATGTACAAGCCAACATTGTTTTTGTTGCTGTATGTAGTTGGTGCTGTGACTTGTTTGTGCTCATCTCTGTTCTGTAGGCAACTTGCCACTCCCTACTGAATAAAGCTACAGTAAAAGAAAAAAAGGAAAACAAAAAATCAGTAAGTTTGGAGAACTTTTTATTAGCTGTTTCTTTCAAAGCAAAACAAAAATCTTTTGCTGTTTGTTAAGAACATCTTCACTTCAGCCTATTTGACCTTCACTGTAAAATCATTCTACTAATTCTGGCACAAAATAGCTTTCATTTCAATTAACCCTGGAATTAAGTTACATCAAAACATTCTCTGTGTTCCTTTGGTTTGATTTATCCCAAAGGCATTTTGGGGGCATTTGTTGCATTGGATATCCCTCGTCTAATTTTATTACTGTCATGTTTAAAATTATAAATGAATGCAAAAGAAACTTAATTTCAAGGCCTTAGGAAATGCTGACTCTCTTCATTCTTGCTTCTTGTTGCAGGTAATGTGAGTGGTTTCCTAGACGTGAAAGTTTTTCTTCATTGTTAGAAGTATATGGAGGGAAAGTGTCACTTTCTAAATCTTACCTAAAAGTTTCATTTTTTACTCCTTATATTTTTATCTAAACAGTCTCAGCCAGAATCTAGATATTTGTGCTTAGATTATAAAAATCCTAATGGTAAACCTCTACCTTAGAGAAAGTCATTATTAAACTATTGGGACTGAGAATATAGTACTTTTGAAATAAAGGAAAACTCAGTGACTCCCTATTCGTAGAGAAACATGATAAGAATATACTGCCTATTTCTATGAACTTGCCCTAACTAAAAGGAAGAAAATTACAGTATTCATAATTATTTTCTTCCCTACGAGTGGAATTTGGTCCAAATGTGCATTCATTTTGAATTCGTCATTGTCACTATGACTTCATATAATCCAAATGATTTTAGAGAAAGATGTAAAAAAAAAAAACCTTTAGGAGTCATGTAGGTAGTTTAGGTACAAAGGTAAAATTTAGAATTTACATTTGGTTTCATCTTTCATTCCTTGTCTAAGCTTTACACGTAATAAGTTCCTGTTTTAAATTCAGAACTAAATTAAAATTTAGACACCTGTGCTTTTATGTACACTCAGGATTTTGAGTATGTTAAGTAAGTTTGGTCAGCTGTGAGCAAATGGATTGGATTGGACTGGATGGCTGTCTTGCTTAAATCGTTTCTTTCTAATGCTTCTAATTCTCAGCGTATATGGGTTTAACATATATACACCATCACTGTTGAAATTTACTATTTCTAACACTCTTGTTCAGTGTTTTACTAATGGCATTGTGTAGTATATCACAAAAATTAAAATTCCAGCTCTCTGTGTTTCTCTAAGAGCATGTTTTCTAGCCTCCTAACACTGCTTTTTTTTAAATTAAGATTTTGTCTAAAATTGTTCTTTGAAATGTTTTCTACTAGTGTTATTTTCAGATTTTTTTTTTTTTTTTTTTAAGTTTCTGGGTAATGCTGAGTTTTGGAATGTATTTCTCAGCACAGGTGATATGAGGTCCTCATGGAAACAAAGGGAAACTAATTGGTAATTTGAGGTATTTTAGAACACATTCCAAAGTATGAAGACAGTATAGTCATCATAAATTTAAAACGTTGGTTTATGGAGTCTTGGCTTAAGAATTTAATGATCTTTTCTTTAAAAAGCAAGCTCTTTTTTGGAGTATATGTGTAATGGATTGGAATATGTAAAATATAGAGAGAAGGTCCTGGCTCCTGGTTTATTAGCTGTGTAGTCATATTACAGATAATTCCATTTATTATACTCAATGTATAATTAGAACTCCTTTGAGAAGTTTATTGTATGCCTCACTTAGGTAATCAAACGTGTGGGTAGTGATCCTCTTGCTAATGTAAAGTTTATTACTGTATTTATTTGTACCATGTTGTTCAGATTTTACTAAGGGGAGTAAAGAGGACATTTGACAGATAACTGGTTTTAGCATACAGACTAGCCCAACTTTGTTCTTTTATGCAGAATGTGTTTGGGATCTAAATTAGATTTTTTATAGATTAAAAAAAACCACTTGAGTATGTATACTATGAAGTAAAATTGCATTGATGTTCATTAGTGGTGAAAGAAAAAACTTTTTATAAATTGTCTCATGAAACTTGTTATACAGCATTTTTATTGATATTCATTACACATACTGGGTTTTAGGTCCAAAAATATACTATCATCAGTGAGATAAAGAATTTTATGATACCAGAAACAGTATTGTGTTTCTGAGGTTGTGGGTACTTTGAGTTTTGACAAGAATTAATTTTGAAGATGTGGAGGATAGTAAAGGTGTAGTACTTTTCAGAAGTTTGACAGTATTCTCCCTTTGGGAAATAATTCACCCAGATTTTCATTAAATTTTGAAATTGAATAGTATTAAGTATAAATCAGGTATAAATGTGAGTCACACTTTAAAACTTTTTTTGTTCTAGACAAAACTATTAAGTAGCATTTTTCAAAAATGTGCTGGTTTTTATGAGATACTTTCACAGCAGGTTAAGTATTTTATAAATGGTTCTTTGGAAACCAAATTATGTCTTTTAATTTTTTAAAAACTGTTTTAGGATTTTAGTGGATTAAACTGAGTATGTGCTTATTCTTTTAAAACAACCTATTTGAAATTAAATATAAAGCAGTTTTTAATCTTCTTGCTAACTCATTCCTTAAAGCTTTAAAATTTTGTAGGTTTGCTGTTAAGTTTCTTCTGTTTTAAGATTAAAATTTGGGAGTTCTAAAAGAACCACTCAGTAGCAATAGTGGTCCCTGAACATTCTGAAATTGTATGAAGAATTTTGTCTGTATAAATGTATACATTCATTTTTCTATTCCTACTCCCCAAAAGATTAAATACTGTACTAGAGTGGTAAAAACACTTGAATTTTCTTCTTAATTCTATTTCTAAAACTGTTTCAGCCGAAAGTAATTCTCAAACGGTATTTGGGTTTTAAAGCTATTCTAGTAAAGCTGCTATATTTAGTCATCTGCACCAGCTTCCTTTTAAGTGTAAGGTTGTCCTTCATGCAGTAGCACTCAGAGGACTTTAAGACAGAGAAAGCTTTCTGAGCTATGTAGTATAAATGAAGGTGAGACTATATTAGTTACAACTCCTGTCTGTTACCACCACTTACAGGGATATTCTTTGGCCTAAAAAATCATTCTCTGAAATCTTACATTTACTAATTCTCTGTCAGATATGGTAGAAAACGATTTAGAGATCTCAGGCAGTGAATAAGAAGACATTTAAAATGTATACCACATGAAACACTAAAGGACATAGAAAGAAATGAAATAATCCTTATTCTTCCCAGAGTTAATCTGGAGTCAGTGAACCATATGAATTTGTGACAAGAAGTATTAATTCATTAAAGCATCATAAAGTAAACTAGAGTTTTGTGAGATTCTGCACATAAATCCCATTTTCTCATTTCCCCCCAATATCCTCTGAAATGTGCGTCTGTCCCTAGACTCCTTGGATATTGCCCGGAGCGCTGTGGCTTCGCTGCCGTAGCGACCACTGCTTTAAGCAGCAGTTAGCTACACTAAGCGAGAGCAGTTGCAGAGATTAAAATGTTATAAAAGTGTTCTTGAAAAATAAATAATCGGCTGTATTATCTGTAAAAAAAAATGTAAGTTTTAGAATAATATTTTCATATGTTAACTTCAAACAGGAGTCACTGAAAAGAGATGGGAGCTGAGCCGGTTTCCTAACACGTTCCCTAACCTAATGTGCCTATTACCTTACCTTCAGTGTAGAATGTTTTATAAAAAGAAAGAGAAAAATAATTTTAAATATTGGGCTCATGATGTTTTTCAGTGCGGGCAACCATTTCTTGTTTCCTTAACTTGTTTTATTTGACAGAATTATGCCCTGAGGTACACAAAAGGGTTCTCTTTTCTGCTGGTGGGATCCTTTTTTCTTTTAGGTCCCCAAGAATTCCTGTTCTTCCATGATTTACATAATAGGTCCTTATCTTATAAAGCATTATGAGGAAGAAATGGAACTGGCAATAATGTTTCTTGTAAGTAAGTTTTTTCTCTTGATAGGAATCTAAAAAACTAACTCTTGTTTGTGTGTGGCAAGCATTTTGCTCGAGATACTCAGTTGTACCAGGTATACAACAAAATGTAAGTATTTATTATTAGATATTGGATGTTTTGGGGTATGCTGTTGAAAACTTAGCCTCGTCTTGTAAGAGTTGACCACACTGTCATGTCTATTAATTTTAGTAAAATATGATAATTGTGTGAAAATTTGGTCTGCTTTTGTTACTTACCAAACTTGCAGTATAAACAACAATGACAAATGTAAGATTTTTTTTCAGGTCTCTCCCACACCACTCATTCATGAGGTTTTTCTTTTTTCTTAGATACCTTTGTTGTGCTTTAAAAGGATGGAGGGCAAGAATTGAGGATAAACTTTATTTACTGATATGTTGGGAGTAGGAAAAAAATAGAACTGTGTTGTTTACAAGGGTTGATCTATTCAGAGTTTTGGTATGAAAGTTTGACCCTTGAGCTTTTTCTTCCCATTTCCTTTTTAAATTCAAACCACATAGTCAATTCTCAACTCCCTTGTTTTTAGGTGGTTAGCCAGCGATTCCCTCAGAACAGCATCGGTGCAGTGGGAAGTGCCATGTTCCTCAGATTTATCAATCCTGCCATTGTCTCACCATATGAAGCAGGGATTTTAGATAAAAAGCCACCACCTAGAATCGAAAGGGGCTTGAAGTTAATGTCAAAGGTGAAGAATTATTTTGATAACTTATTTAAAATTTCTCTTCCAGCTAAATTTTCCGTTTTTCATATTTATTGTACTTACACTTGAATTGATTTTTAAAATACCCTATGGTTCTCCCTTATATGCTTTTGTTTTATTTTTATTTGTTAAATTACAAAGGAATTAATTAGACTGATACCTGATGGGCCTTATTATCCTGGGAAAACAATCTTAGCAAATGTCTACTGAAGATAGTTTTCTATGTATTCATTCTGGAAATTCTGAAATGGAGACTGTATGATTCTTTTTATTAAGAAAGACATTTAAAAATTTTAATATGTGTTTTTGTGTTTGTAAATAAATATATGTGTATATATGTAGTAATTTATATTTGGGAAAGAACAGAAACAACACCTAGTATTTATAGAATGAGTAATAATTTACTTTAATTACCAGTAGAAATTATATCAATGAGACATTTAGTACTTTTTAAAGAATATATGATTGTGTACGCTTCATACAATGAATGATCTGATTTATAACCCTGTTCCATTGTTTAGATACTTCAGAGTATTGCCAATCATGTTCTTTTCACAAAAGAAGAGCATATGCGGCCTTTTAATGATTTTGTGAAAAGCAACTTTGATGCAGCACGGAGGTAGGACGGCTCTATTTGACTTAAATATTGTCAGTTTCATTTAAGTCTGGGTACTAGGTCTACATGAAGCTCCTGTGTAGGTTTTTTCCTCTTTTCTCTCTAGGTCAAGAGCAGAGTTAATCTTATTTTATTTTATGTAAGAGACAGTGGCAAAGTAAATCCATATTCTTTATAATTTGGTAGTGATTTCCATATTTGAAAACCAGCAGGGAATTTTGACACATCTACGAAAATAAAGGACTTGAGGTTGCTACAATATGGAGGAGAGATAGAAGAAAAGGATTCCTTCTAGTAAAAACTGAAACCAAAATGGCACACATAATGCATAATAGTGTATAATGACAATTTTTTTGATGTTGAGTTTGAGTTGTTGGTTTATCTGTAAATGGGGACAATAACTGTTTGCCTGTCTGAGTTGACTTTAAAGAAACAAGTGATACAGTGTATGAGAAAGTGCTTTATAAATGTAAGTTAAGGTCCAGAATTCTGCTTTTTATGACGTTTTTTTAAGTCATAGTCTAAGCTAGACTTGTACAACTCTGCCTTCCAGTTTTTCATTACGGTTCATATCAACTTCTTTCTAGTTGGAATTTAAAAGGTATATTGTTGGACTGCAAGCCGTATTGGAGAAAAAAGCGAATGTCAGCATAGGATTCATATTCTAGCAGATTGACTACCCTAGAAAGTTAAGAGAACAAAAGTTCTAATCCTGGCTCTGACCTAATAGGCTGTATAACTTTGGGGAGGTCTTTCTTTTGTTTTGTTTTGGTCTCCGTTTCCTTATCTGTAAAGTACTGGCTTTGATCCAAAGTCTCATCCATCTAAATTTTGTTGTTGTCTGACTTTAAAACCTATTCTGAAGCCAAAGTCAGGTATCAGAAATGGAAAGCCATTGGGGCACCTGGGTGGCTCAGTCATTAAGTGTCTGCCTTCGGCTCAGGTCATGGTCCCAGGGTCCTGGGATCGAGCCCCACATCGGGCTCCCTGCTCGGCAGGAAGCCTGCTTCTCCCT